TTTAGCCCTGGAGAAAGAAGTGCTGAGCCTGGGAGGAGGCAAGGGAAAGAACCTGCCATGGAGGGGCCAACTGAAGTAGAGGAGGTCTCTGATGAGGAGGAGGGACTGGGTGAGAACTTCATGGCTCAACCTAGGAACCCTATGGCAGCAGACAGACCCTGGGGGCCAAGAAGAGTCCATTTTGAAGCTAGGCCAAAACAGAACAACCCTGGAGGAGATCAGATGATGAGGTATAAATATGAATTCCCCTTGTTTGATTATGATAACCCTAGACTTTGGGTGATAAGGTGTGAGAGATTCTTTATGCTTGCTAGAATTCCCAGGGATGAGATTATGCATGTTTTGTGTGTTAATTTAACTGGCAAGGTTTCTATGTGGTATGAAGCATATTTGAATGGATTGAGGGAAGGATTCCAATGGACTGAATTTGCTAGATCTGTTTGTAAAAGACTTTGTGAAAGTAATGCTGATGTGATGGAAGAGTTCTCTAGTTTCAAACAATGGGGAAATGTGGTTGATTTCTCTGATAAATATGAAGAATACAAAGGGCTTTTGCTACAACATTACCCTACTTTATCTGAACAATTCTTTCTAGACAGTTTTGTGGTGAGGCTTAAGCAGCAGTTGAGGTGTTTTGTGAGAACTTCTAGACCTGCTAACTTGGAAGAGGCTACGTGGTTAGCAAGGCTGTTTGAGAGAGGATTGAAAGGGAGTGAAACCCAGAAAACAAGCACCTACTCTAACCAAAAAGCTACCCAAAATAACCAGAGAACCCAATCTTTTACCCAAACCTATAATTCCAGACCTAAGGAGCCTAATAGAACCCAGTTAGCCAGAATTCACCCAAAACTTCTGCCTCTAATACCTTATAATCTAATGCCAGAATACCTGAGGTCAGTAGTTTAGAGAACAGCTCAGAGAACAAAAAAGGTGTTTCAGGTGTTTTGAGTCTTGGAGTCCTGGACACAAGTGTAGAAGCCCACCTTTAACATAATAGAAGGAACTGAATCCCAGGACAATGAAGAGGAATTCAGTGGTGTTGTTGAAGAAGAAAATGAGCCTCAAAGATCAACAGAAGAAGAGGAAGTGGAGGTTACATTGAATGCAGTTATTGGAGGAGAGGGAATTAACACCATCAAGTTGTTAGACTTGATTGGTAAGCAGGCAGTGACTATAATGGTGGATTGTGGAAGTACTCACAGCTTTGTGGACCCTAGGATACTTGAACAGATTGGGAAACTGGCTACTAAGGCTGAAATTCTCCATGTTACTGTGGCTAATGGAGAGAAATTAGAATGTGATTCTGTGTGTAATGCCTTGGAATGGCAAGTGCAGAAGGAGAAGTTTAAAAAGGACTTAAGAGTTCATAAGCTGGGGGGGGGGTGTGACATAGTCCTGGGAATGGATTGGATTGACACTTATGCACCCATCCAGTTACACACTAGACCACCAGGAATTTCATTCCACAAGGAGGGGAAGAGAGTTTGGCTTAAGGGCTTAACCAAAAACATTGTTCTGTAACCAGCTTCAAAGAAAGAAGTTAGAAAGTGGACAAAAGAAGGGGTTAAGGGATATATGTTGCAAGGGAAATTGCAAGGAATCAGTGGAAGTGTTCTGACTGGAGATAATTACCCTGAGTTAGATGCATTGTTAATGGAGTTTCAAGAGCTGTTTGAAGATCCCAAAACACTACCACAAAAAAGGCCTTTTGATCATGAAATTCCCTTGATGCCAGGGGCAAAACCTGTGAATTCTAAGCCCTATAGGTATTCCTTCTTACAGAAAAACACAATTGAGAAGATGGTGGATGAGATGCTCAAAGCTGGGGTAATTTCACACAGTACTTCACCTTTTGCATCACCAGTGTTATTGGTTCCAAAGAAGGACAATTCTTGGAGGTTTTGTGTAGATTATAGGGCTTTGAATGCCATAACCATAAAAAATAAGTTTCCCATACCACTTATAGAGGACTTATTTTCTGAGTTGGCAAATGCTAAGGTGTTTTCTAAGCTAGATCTGAGGGCAGGATATCACCAAGTGAGAATGAAATATGGTGAGGAACATAAGACAGCTTTCAGGACCCACCAAGGCCTATATGAATTTAATGTAATGCCTTTTGGATTAACTAATGCCCCAGCTACCTTCCAGGCTCTTATGAACCATGTGTTCATGCCACTAATCAGGAAGGTGGTCCTTGTGTTCTTTGATGACATTTTGGTGTACAGCTCCTCCCTTGCAAGCCACTGGGAGCACCTGAGAGAGGTAATAGAGATCATGAAGACTAATCAGCTGATGGCCAAGCTTAGTAAATGTACTTTTGCAAGGAAGGAAGTGGAATATTTGGGACATATAATCTCTGAGAAAGGGTTACAAACTGATCCAGAAAAGTTGATTGCAGTAAAGGCATCGCCAAAACCAACCAACATCAAAGAGTTAAGAGGATTTCTAGGATTAACTGGATACTATAGGAGATTCATTAAATCCTATGGAGCTATAAGCAGACCACTCACAGACATGTTGAAGAAGAATGCTTTCCATTGGAGTATAGAATCAGAACTGACATTTGAGCAATTGACGAAGGCATTGTGCACAGCTCCAATTTTAACTCTCCCTGATTTTAGCAAGGATTTTGTGGTGGAAGCTGATGCTTGATACAAAGGAATGGGGGCAGTCCTCATGCAAGAAGGTAAACCTATAACTTATTTCAGTAAGGGATTTGGCCCAAAGCACTTAGGTTTATCCATATATGAGAAGGAGTATATGTCTATAATTAATGCAATAGACAAATGGAGATCATACTTATGTGGAAGGCACTTTATCATTCAAACTGATCATCAAAGTCTCAAGTTTTTATTAGAACAGAAAATCACCACAACAATGCAGCAAAAAGGGCTCACTAAGCTATTAGGCTTGAGTTATGAGATTCAATACAAGAAGGGTAAGGAAAATTGTGTGGCAGATGCATTATCAAGGAAAGGGAGTGACAATCAGGCTGAATTGGGAGCCATTTCAGTTGTAAGGCCATTATGGAAGGAAGATGTCCTTAAGAGTTATGAGGGTGATGAATTGGTTACCAAGATACTAACCGAGTAGTTAATCAATTCTGAGATAGAATCAGTATTTACCATTGAAGAAGGATTGATCAAACACAAAGGGAGACTCTATATTGGGGGCAATGGTGATCTGAGAAACAAGCTGTTAGATCAAATGCACAATTCCCCCATGGGAGGTCACTCTGGACAACAAGTAACTTACCACAAGCTTAAGCAGTTGTTCTACTGGAAAGGAATGAAGGGGGAAGTAATCCAAACAGTCAGAAATTGTGATGTGTGCCAAATATGTAAGGAGGAAAATGTGGCATATCCTGTCCTGATACAACCTTTATCTATTCCAGAACAGGCTTGGCAAGGAATATCCATGGATTTCATTGAGGGATTACCAAAATCACAAGGCAAGGATGTCATAATGGTTGTGGTGGACAGGTTTACTAAGTATGGACATTTCATGTCCTTGTCTCACCCTTTCACAGCTGAAACAGTGGCTGATTTATTTATGGAAAATATCTACAAACTGCATGGACTACCCCAAGACATTGTCAGTGATAGGGATAAGATTTTTGTCAGCATGTTTTGGAAGGAATTGTTCAACCAAATGCAGGTTAAATTGAGCATGTCTTCTTCATATCACCCTCAGTTAGATGGACAAACTGAGAGGGTGAATACATGTGTTGAAACTTATTTGAGGTGCATGGTATTCCATAGACCTAAGACTTTGATGAAGTGGTTACATTTAGCTGAGTATTGGTACAATACTAATTTCTACACATCGTTACAATGCTCACCATTCCAGGCTCTTTATGGATATACACCTCCTTATTTAACTTTCAAAGTGCTTACAGAAGGACGAGAACAGGATTGGTTCATGGAAAGAGCTGTGATGATAGCTATCCTCAAAGAGAACCTAACTAAGGCCCAAGCCATAATGAAGGAATAGGCTGACAGGCATAGGACTGAGAGGAGTTTGGCAGTAGGTGACTGGGCTTACTTGAAGATTCAACCTTATAAGCAGTCTTCTGTAGCTGTGAGGTCCAATCTCAAGTTGACAGCCATGTTTTATGGGCCATTTGAGGTAATTGAAAAAATTGGGCAGGTTGCATATAAGTTGAAACTTCCAGGGGAAGCTGCTATTCACCAAGTATTTCATGTGTCCTTACTAAAGAAAAGGGTGGGAGAAGGTATAGAACCTCAGACAGTTCTGCCCATCACTGATGCAAAGGGCATGATTCTCACTCAACCCATTGCTGCCATAGGAAAAAGAATGGTGAAGAGGAACAATGCAGCTGAGGTAGAAATCTTGGTGCAATGGGCCAATCTACCTAAAGAAGCTGGCCACCTGGGAGAACTATCATCACATCATTAAACAATTCCCTAACTTTGATCCTTGGGGTCAAGGATCCAATGAAGAGGAGGGCAATGTTGCATCCCTTAACTTGAGACATGGAAAATTTAAGGAAGATATGGGGTTTGAATTGGAAGGGGAAGAGCTGAGATCAGAAGCTAAGGAAAATCAAAAAGAGGAATGAAAGTCAAAGGACCAAAGCTGCGTCGTTTCGAGAAGAAGGAAGGATTGGCATAACTTATCCAAACGACATCGTGTGAGCTACCGTTGGGGGCCGTTTAAGTAAAGGTTCGGACGACGTTGTTTCACTCGTAGACGTTATAACCGTGGAAGAATGCTTTCATGCGACGTCGTTTTGGCCCCAGGATGGTCCGAACAGACAGCAGATGCCTCAGCGAGAAATGTGGGAGTTAGTTAGAAGTTTTTTGGATGTTTTGCAGCTACTTATGCTTTGTTTGTAAGAAGAATGATTATGTTTTTTTTTTTGGAGACCTAATTTCGGATTCAATAGAATTCCTCAACTTTCCTCTAAACCCTAAATTTCTTCTGTTCCCCTCTACCCTTTCTACTGTTTCATTAGTTCAGAACTTGGAGGTCACGACAGCAGCGCAGAAGTCTTGGGTTTTTAAGCAGTTTTCAAAGTAATCCTCAACCAGCTCAGAAATTCTTGATTCCTCCGTATGTCCTTCTTGATAACATGATCACCTTCACCACTTTTTGGTTCATATCCGAAAACTTCCCATGATTCCTTCAAGGAACCAAAGCTTAATTCTCCAATGTCAACTCCCACAGAAGTTAGGGTACTTATCACATCATTGCTTCGACTTGAATAAAAAACCTGCCACTTTTTGCTGGTGCATCTCCCATCCAATGCAAATATAGTAGAAATATAGGGGAAATAGTGGATTCAAGAGATTAACGGATTCAAGATTCACACAAAATTGCAATTAGCAGAAAAGAAAAGGGGATTTATGGAAAAGATTAACTCTGTTCTGTTAACAAATCTTGCACATGAATGAAATTTCAAATTGAAATTGTTCGATTGCTGGTTTGCTAATAATAGGTAGGTTATTTGCGAAACGAGTGATCACAAGTTTGATTTCAAAATAATTACCGTTAGACCAAAGGAGAGCATGAGAAGACCGTTTGATGATGAAGACTGATCCAACTATCCTGTTAACTTGTATCTAAGGTGGATTAAAATTCTTCAAAAAGGTTGAATCCTCAAGCCCAAGGCCCCTTACACTTCGTCCCGACAGAACATATATAACTTGTCATTTATACACTTGGAAGGTTGTGAGTTCCATTTGGAAGGTTGTGAGTTCGTGCCTCAGTGGATGCGTTATTGGCTCTTTGTGTTTAGTAGGTTGAGAAAGTATATGAACAGATACTACAATGTAATAGAGCTAGTAGCATTCAAAAAAAAATACACTTAAATCTTTTACAATGCTTGAGTTAATTCAATATTTGATATTAAATTTATAGGTGACAGTCCACTTAAGTTATTTTGGTCTTAATATTATTGTCGCATAATAACTCTTGGTTCTCTGTCAACAAAATCGTTTAAATATCGTTAAATACAAAGACATTTTGATCTTTATTTAATACAAAGTGGATTGACCTGCTATAATTGTACCGGAGTATTTTTTTTTTTTTTGAAAAAATCTATAATTGAATTTTTGAAATGCATTTGTATTTAACGAAATTTAAATTATTTGTTGGTAGAGGAAAAAATGGTCACGTCACAAAAATACTAAGACCAAAGGCAATCGTTATACCCTACACCACGACGCGCGTAGCACTGTGCACCGCGCGCCTCCCAAAACGACGTCATTTTGGGACGCGCGGTAGGAAGTTGCTGTGATTATGTATATTTGTTCACACAATTATGTATATTTGTTCATACAATTATGATATTTGTTCATATAGTTATGTACATTTTTTATACAATTATGTACATTCTTTTTATACAATTATGTACATCCGAATTAGAAAATTTTGTGTATTATGTTAAGAGTTGATGTGTATTATGTTAAAAGTTTATGTTTATTATGTATTATGTTAGATTATGTGTATTATCTTTTAAAAAGAGTATGTATATTTTGTTATATAATTATGTACATTCATGTATAACATTATATGTATTCTAGTATAAACATTATTCTTGAAACAGCGGGTTTTTTTTAAAAGAAAAAACTACTGCCATTCACTGGGGCGGGAAATTTCAAAAAAAAAAATAAATTAAAAGGACGTCGTTTTGCATCTGGGCGCATAGTGCAACGCGCGCGCGTGGTGTAGGATATAAATTGCCTTCAACCTTTGGGAGAAGAAAAATAGATTCCGTGTAATATCACAACCTAAGGGTGTGTTTGAAAACCCAGAAAATGATTCCAGAAAATCATTTTTCGGGTTTCTAGCTAGTATTTGGCAAGAGAGGAAATACTAAAGTCAATAGAAATTGAATTCTGGTCAAAGAAAAACAAAGCCAATTTTTTGGAAAATAACTTTCCCTTTCATTTTTCACCGCAGCCTGCTCTATCTCGAATGAACCCATATGAATGGTTTCCGGTGAGAACCAAATCTCTGGTTCCCGACAGAAACCAGACTTTATGGTTTTTGAAGCCGGAAACAAGATTTGGTTTTTCGTCTTCTGTTTTTTATTTTATTTTATTGTATTTTTGTTTTTTTTTAATGAAACCATTTACTTACATTGTTTTTTTTTTTTTTTTTTAAAAAAAATTTTTTATAAATAACATTGATTTTTTTTTTTTATGAAACCAATGTTTAATTATACAATTCTGGTCATTGTTTGGAAAAGGAATCAAACAACCAACAGTTTTATGTAATGTAACCAAATACTGAAAAGGAAAATGTTTTCTGTGAAATAAGTCATTTCCCTGGTTTCCAAACACACCCTAAATGAGATTTGAATTTGTGACATGTTCTGATACGCGAAAAATTATAACTAATAGCGAAGTTTAACTTTATTTCATTATACTAGCATAACAATCAGTGTCACGTTTCAATGGCAGGATAACAAACACGTCCTTTAATTAGTCTTGGATTCAAGCCTCCGCACTAGCTATCCAATAGTAAATATTCAATCTTTTCCTACAAAAGGCGAAATCCCTTGCCTTCACAGAACGTTTGAGGGGTAAATCAATGTGACTCAACACATAACTTGGGAAGGCCAGTACCCACAATAAGCTAATCATATTAGATGTAGCTCCCATACTACGACTATCGTCATGTTTCAATCATGCATTTTTTTCCATAAACCTGAATACCTACTGAAATATCTGGAGAGTAAATATTCATTTTTGATAGCGCGACAGCATACGAAATCATACAATTTCCCCCAAGATATATGACAAAAAATCTAGAAATTGTAGCGATTGGTTGTGGGGATTGCGAAATTACACCATTTTCAAAACACTGGCATCCAATGGCTGGGTTATGGAGGCAAGCGTGTTACGTTCCACTCATCCAACATATTAGTACAACCATATATATGCATTCGTGATCAGACCCCTTAATGTTATTGATGTTTTTCACGTTTTATGTTTCTATACTTTTCTTAATAACATTATTTGAATCGTATCTGTGTATTTCACAAAACGACACTAATCTAATTAAACCTTGATCAGATTTATTCGAGAAAAAAATTATTCTGATATTTCAAGAGTACTACAGTGTCACTGCATACATATGAGTTAAAATTTTTGACTTTATATTAAATGACTCAAACTCGTTTTACTTTATCTTTTCCCCGACGTTCTTCTTTTGCCCAAACCAGTGGGTTAGGCGTGCCGAAGCCCTTTCATCCGTGCACTTCAACTTGACACCTGCACTAAGTCCATGGAACCTACCCACCCCAAGTGAGGACGAACAAGCATATCTAGATTTTTATATATTTTTTTGTACTTTTATCTGTTTTTAATCGTTCTTTGGCAAGTACAGTACGTTATATCAATTATATATAATATTAGGGCATAAGAAATATTGACCACCCATATATAATGTTATGTTGAATAGTACAAGGAGACAACCTAATTTAGATCAAAGGTTGCAACACTACCCACCTGTCTTCCTTTGGATGGGTCACTAGCTCTCATGCTACAAGTCAATTTGAACGTATATATTGATGAATTATTTAAATTAAACATCATGAAATTAAAGTCAAAGAAAAGCTGGGTTTAATTTGATTATCTTAGTTGGGTCTCCATGTGTTCAATTATTATTGTGTGGACCATATTTTGTATACTATAAAAATAATGTACATTCAACACAAAAATGTACATTGTATTCAGGGGATGTATTATTTTTGTACTGAGTGTACATTATATTGTATAATGTACATTCAGTACAAAAATAATGTACATTTTGTTATGATCCACATAACACTGTGTGGATCAATAATTTGTCCCATGGTGTTCGATTTCCTCCCAAGTAGCTATAATTGAGGAGGATAGTGTTAGTGTGTGGCATTGCCTCGGTTTATGTATTGTGTTAGAATCAAATGCTTATATTATCACAACGCAACCAGTTGTAACTAGTAGCGGATACACAATGTTTATTTGTATTGTTTATCAGTTTCATAATTTCTGTGGATGTAATTTCGTTTTCGGAGACTTAGTGTGTAGTTGATTGGTGGTTTCACTTAAAGGTCATGCCCAAGAATGTTAATTAGAAGGTCTGTATTGAATCCCTTGTACGCACATGAAGACTAGGATCTAATTCTTAAGACAAGGTCATGTGAGCTTAAGATTAGTCCCATAAAATTGAAATAACTTAATATTTTTTTTTTAAAGTATCTAAATTTCTTTTAACATGCGCCTTAAAATGCTTTTTTAACGGAAAAAAAAAACATATTTAATTTTAGGACTACTTTTAATTACGAAAGCTATTGTGAAATGTTTGGTGACGGTTTTTGAGAGTGAAATATAACAAATTAAATAACACAATCATAGTTTAATAACAAACATATATGACACGTACTTCCGTCACCTCTTTTTTTTTTTTTTTTTTTTTTTTTGGATGGCAAGGCAAGCTCAGCTTTTGTGGAATAGTTTCTAAGTTTTAGAAAAGAGAATAAATCATATCCAAAAATGTTGACAAGAATGGAATAAAATTCGTAATTTTAATGTACAAAAGTCATGTTTTATCTATTCGATTATTTCTCTCGAACTCCTGAACCCTTTTCACCCACTTTATATCTTGAGATAAATCACACTGAAATGATGTTGACGCCTTGGTTGGTAACCTAGTTAGTTTATCAGTCACTTTTGTCTTATTTGACCATTATATATTTAGCTGTTTGACTTAGTTAAACAACAAATATAAGTGTTTGATTAATTATCTTTTTGTAACAGTTTATTGCTCCAAAACAAAAACAAAAAGTTTTTTTTTTTTAATTTAACATTTTGAGAAAGTTATTTTGCATGTAATCAGCTATCAGCTAACAACTAATTTACCAAACATCTTTCTACAATAAGCTAATGCTATCAACTAGTCAAAATCACTAACTCAATAAGTTAAAAGTTATTTACCAAACACTCCAAAAATAAAATTTATAATTTTTTGGTACAAAAATCATGATGTGTACCCATTCAATTATTTTTTTTTTTTTTTTTGGGGGGGGAGGGAGGGCTCTTGACCCAATTTGTCTCACTATATAATGCATTACTAATTATAATAATAAAACTACGATCTCATGGGGCTTAGACTCCCACATATAAAATAAAAAACAAAAATTAATTAATACAAACATTCCATTTTCCCTCCATTGTTTGTCACTTCATTTCCTCTATATATATGTTTTGGGAGTTTTGCAATTTTGCATGGTCCCCAACTCTCATCCTATGAGCCCAAGAAATCCAGGAAACAATATATATCATATTTAACAAAAATGAATTCAGTCGTGGTCGTCGTCCCGATCAACCAGGAAGGAGATGACATCGGTGATTGACCTCCATTAAGAAAAAAGGCGGCGGCCGTGAAAATGAATTCGACAAGAGAAAGGCGGTGCACAGCGTTAAGGTTGGATGGCTTTGGTTCTGGTCTCCCTTTTGTATATGCTGGACCCTCTTTTCCGGCAAGTCGGACAGAATGCGATGTGGGCTATCATGACCGTCGTCGTCGTCGAGTTTTTCGCAGGTGAGAATAATGGTCGGAAACTTGGTTAGTT